AATGTGTGGGTTATAACAAAATTGGTTTAAAATGTGTTATTTTAATAAGCACACATAAAGTAGTGTTAGTTCATTAATTTGTAACCAAACAAAATTTGAAAATCAGTAAGGAGCAGACAAACATTGTACTATGCACACTCAATATATGCAACAGTATGTTAAAACTTTTAAGTGATACAGGTACAAGGTTGTATAGGAATTTTCCACTGCTGAATCCTAAAAAACTGATTTTTGTTTGGGAACATGGAAGAAAAGATCGTACAGTAGCTAAACAACGCATCTTTACTTTTGGATTTTTTTCTAATTTAGGAAGACTTCACTGGAACTGATACAAAAGTATTCTGTACCGGCAAAGTAACTCTAGTTGACGTAGCTTATGGCTGCTACAAACAGCCCTCCTATATGAAGGAAAAATCACACCTGTATAACAGCAGTATATTTGCATGTGTACTTCAGGCTTTTGCCAGCACATCTATGTCTGTCTGTTGATTGGAGTGCCTCTTCAGACCCCTGAACAACTATATGTAAATAGTTTAATTGACTGGCATTTTAATACACTTACTGTACATGGAATTGGAAACTACATTCCAGGAAAACAGATTCAAACTGGGTTAACCTAATACATGACAAGTTTAATTTTGTTTTCTTTTTCATTTTCCACTTGCCATTAATATCAAAGTTGTATTCCTGTTACATAATTGAAAGAGAAAGAAAAGCATACTTTTCAGTTAATTCACTGTTTAAACAAGAGTCCACATGCTACTTCCATGGTAATGAGTTTGGAACAACTTTACATCTTTTTTCCTTATATTTTCAGTCTCTCCCTAGAATTTGAGAGTCTTGGGGAGCAAGGGAGTCTCTTTCTGCAAGTTCTTCTGGCAGAAACCAGAACGATCTTTGCTTCAGCCCATCATCGGTATCCTAATGAAACAACTCTTTCAAAAAAGCCTGTAGGTAGGTGTGTGTAACAGAAGGAAGCAAGAGGAATGAGCCTGTCCGTCTGCCTTTACAGCTAATTAGCTCAGCATACAGCAAAGACAAGCAATCCAGGGAGGTGGACCTTCTGAAGGATCTTGAAGTTAGAGGCAGTGTCTGATTGGCAGATGTGGGGAGATTCTTTAGGAATCCAGTGCATCAATGAACTGCAAAAATTCAGTACAGGACTCAACTAATTCAGGTATGAGGGCAGTTTGTGGATGCTTTCTGGAAAAGCAGACCTGAGATGGACAGAACCTTGGAGTCTTTGCAACTTGTGATTGCCCGAGTTCTTCCTAATAGAGACCCTACCCTGGTATTTAAAGACTGTAAGTACCAAAGGTAAGTATCTGACCTCCCTAACGATTCAGTTGCTTTATTTAATTCACGCCTGCTGCAATCAATATATTAAGACATAGAAGTAATTAATTGGCTTTAGTTTGTGCATATCACAAACTATAATGCTATTTTAACTCCATATCTCCTGTCTAAGGTAGTGCTGCCGGTTGGTTTTTAAGTTTGTATTTCAGAAGATTGATTCAGAACTTTTTCTTAGGATACCTGATTACATTCTTAGTAACATTCACCTTGTGGTAAAAACTTTTACTACTTGACAGCCTTGGAAAATTTTATGTCACTTCCCTTTCTTTTTCTGGTAGTTTGTCCTGTCCACTTTTTAACCAGTGTTTCTGTAAAACTCCAAAGTATCAAAATCTTAATGCTTATGTTTACACAGATGCAATGTAGTATGCTGCTTCTTAATGGAATGTGGGGGTGGGAATGGTGGGGTTTTTTTTTCTTTTCTATCAGACTTGAGCATAAATGCACATTTTTTTTTAAAAAGCATGCCAAAACTGTTCACTTGGTTATTCTATATATATAATTTTTTCATCTTACAATCTGTATGTACCTGTCCCTTACAAAACATTAGTTCTGAAGTGCTTTTCACTAAGTGCTGCATAATAAACTGGTCTGATGCATCCCTTGAAACAAATGGAGTTGAATGTGACCCGCATATCAAGGAAATACGAGTATTTAAATTTGACTTTATGATTTAAGTAGGGCTATACATGAAATGAAGTGCTATTTCATTAGTAAAGTTTTACAAAACTTACCCCCAGTTCCACAGATTTCACGTGGTGGTGGCTAGAAAACAAAACCAATAATTCTTTTCTATGAATTCAACAAAAAAATATTTTAATTCCTTGGTTTTTACAGTTTCCTCCAGACATGAATGGGATCTCTTAATTTTGTGTCCCCAAACCCAGTCCTAATTAAACTGTTAAATTAGGAGTCTTCTGGCTGTCATTTCAAGCTAAATCAATCAGTTGTGTAATGTGCAGACAATGCTGGGATAATGTTTGATTTTTTTTCTAAGGAGCTTTTTTCCCTTAACATTTAAATCTAATTGTAATCTACTGTGGGACCTGAGGCACAGTGCAGGGGCACTTGTTTAGTCTCCATTCATCAACAGCTATGTTAGAGTTAATAAAATCAGTCTCATACAATCAATGATTTCCTTCTAACTTGCTATGGAAGAAATAAAGTACATGGCTAGTAATGGACCTGGGGGGAAAGCCTGTGTACTTCTGCATTAAACATCTCTACTCACTAAATTCCCATACTGTTAATCACACTGAAAAGTGAGAGACTGCACAAGTAGTTCCCTGGGAATAAGTAGGAATATTCACATAGAAAGATGCTACTCTGATATGACTGTCATGTAAGGATCCATCCTGAAACTTAGGGTTCAACATCTGTTTCTCAAGTCACCCCTTAGGGAGTTTTTATGCTGCTGGGTAGATTTGTGTTACCATTGCAGTCTCGGGACCTTCCAGTAAAGTCTGTGAATGTACATGTATCACAGGACAAAATACTTTGATGGGGGGGGAGGGGAGGGAGGCGGGAAGTTAGTCTGGAGGAAGAAGGGCATTCCCTTTCATAAGGTATCACCGGTAACTGGTTTCTGCAGATCTACTGACAAGGTTTTTATTGAAAATGTATGTACAAGCTGCTTGGACAATGCAGTGACCACCCACAGATCTAAGGGGAAAGATGATTAAATAGAAACAGAAGTGTAAAAGTGGCTTGGAGTACTATTTTTCTTTATATTTTCTGAGGTATGAAAAGAATTTTAAAGGCATTCTAATACCGGTTTAACCTACTGTCACGAATTATTGGAATGCACCTCGCTCAAAAGAGAGAAGCAGCAATATGTTTTATTGAGGTAAAATAACAGTTTGACAGTGTTCAATGAATTCGATGGAATTTAACAAAGTTTAACAGGGGTTTGCCATAGTTCAATGGGTTTGATGGCAAGGTTCACCTTATTAATTACTGCATGGAAGAAACGTACAAAGGAAAATCGAGTTACACTCAAGTTAGAATGATTCACACAGAGACTGGATACACAAAAGGGTAAGGAGGACCCTCCCACTGAGTCACAAGGTTCAGAGTGGACCCCCTTGCTTTCTAAACTCCTCCTCAGAGAGGAGTGTAGGGGCGGCTAGGTCCAAATCTAGTCTCAGACTTGGTAAACGGTTTATGTCTAAGGGATTATATATGTAAAAATTATGTAATGTTTCATTAGCATCAATTCAGCATGCAATCAAAGTTACCAAGACAAAATCAAAGTTACCATACTACAATGTTATACGTGATATCGGTCGCTTACCAAAGATCTGTCGTTGGTAAAAGATCCGTCTGCCTTGAGGAGCAACCTTGAGAGGTGTCCCAGCTCAAGGGGAGATCACCACCATGCAGCCACGCTGCCTAGCAGGGAGACCTCAAAAAAGGCTCACCTAGGCTGTCATATTTATGGGATAAAGTGGTTGGCTCATAGTCAAATGACATGCAATGGAAAAGGTATGCATGAGACTCCTTGTACCCACAACTTACTTTATTCCTTGATAAATGAGTCATGGAAAAGCCACCTGCTATTCATGCGTTAATCGCATCTTTGGTGTTGGAAGCTCATATGCATCAATGCTCACTGTGTCACTCTACTCCTTTGTGGGTTTTCAAAGAACAGATTGAAACATGGTGAGTTCACGCCTGGCTATAGCTTCAGCGTTTACCCCTTCTGGAGCCTGCATGAAACCACCACCAGTCTGGTCAGGGGTTGAGCGCACCCGTCAGACTTACATAGGCTTGAAATCACTGTGAGTGCATGCCACTAACTGACTGGTGAAAAACATTCATAGTGCTTTGTGTGTAAAGTCAGATGAGAATTTACTTACATTCTTCTTATCTTCAGTAAAAGGTCAAGTCTAAAAAGATTTAGGTAGAGTTGTCCATCTAATCTGATTTTTTTTTAATGGGATTTAAACAATGTGAGCAGGTATTAGTCTGGAAAGAAGATAATCTCATGGTTCTCTGAGAGAGCATGTCCACAGCTCTTACAAACACATTAGTTTCAGCCTTTGCCAGTAATAACCAGATAAGAATGAAAAGCCATCCAGCATCCACTTTGCTGTACTAACAGCTACCTTTTTTCACAGTGTGAGCTGTATCAGTTTCATATGTAAATTAGACTGAATTTTACTAAGAGGGAAAGAACAAACATCTCAGAGCAAATAGTCTGCTTGCTACCATGCAACACCACATACAACTTTTGTTCCCATTGCAACTAATGGGCTTCCGCTTACTCTGACCTAAAAGCGTCGTCTGTGGGGAACGCCTTCATAGAGGACTTTCCCCAGCAGCAGGCAGAGACGGGACTTTCAAAAGTTCCTGCCTCCCTGGGTGCAGCTGTCAGGAGAAAAAAGTTTTGATATATAAAACAGAGACATGAGTAGGCAGTAGCCTTGCCTATTAAGACTTTTGTTCTTACTATTTATTCTAAACCTGTGTATTTGAACTGATTATGTTTCATACTGGAACTTCCAGCCAGCACTAGGTAAAAAATATTTTTTGTCTGAATTAACAGATTATGGATCTGTCTTTCTCTGAAAAAGTTGTAATTCATGATTTTTGACAAGGACATGGTGTTTACCAGCAGAAACAGTGGCCTTTTGTATAAAGGTTGCAAGTTCTGCAGTTAGCTAGAAAAACTTAGCCACGCTTCTGGTTTTGGAAAATCTCAATTTGCATATCTATAGGTGTAAAATTTCTCTTCCCTAATAATTGTGTGTGTGCTGAGAGGAACTGGGCCTTGAGTAGTATCTCTGGGCTGCTGTGAAGCATGTCTGGAGTTGCAGTGGCCCTCACCTACTGGCATGGCCACACCTGCTGACCCCGGAACATGGAGGGCAAGACTGCAGTATTCATGACACAGAGCACACAAGCCAGCTGTTAGTCTCAAGGAGGAGGCATGTCAGGCTGCCTACTAACTGGTGGAACAGAAAACATCGGACTGAGACAGTTAACCTGCAGAAAGGCTGTAGCAGGCAACCCCAGGGAGAAAGGAATGGGCAAAGACCTGGAGGATGGAGGAGGATACTCAGGCTAGAACAAGAAGCCCAGCATTCAACTCTTGTAACTGCAAGAATTATGTTTACTTTTTTGCATTTCCCTGATCTGTGTTTATTATGTAGCTTCTGTCTCAGGTAATGCAGGGGTCATAAAGATAACACCTTCTACGACACAGCTCCTATTTAACCCCAGAGCTAGTCTAACCTGTACACCGACAGAAAAAAAGAAGTGTCCTGATAGCAGGGAAGGAATGAAAAGTATCAGCATGTAATTAATTACTATGTAATTAAATTGTATTTCCTGTGCAAATTAAATTCATCCTCCTTCTCCATACACACTGTGATGCACTGGTGTATTCTAACTTCAGTTCTTTTTTTTTTTTTATGTTCTTTGAGGAAAAATGTAGATACCCAAGCAAGGAAGGAAGCTGAACTCCTGAATTTTATAAGGAGTCCAATTAAAGGCTGAAGTACAAAAGGGTTGTTTTTATATTTCTGTTAGATCTCAGACAATGTAAGGCATCATTTGACATGCTACCTTGTTTTTATATCTCATAATATTGTCCATTAACTAAAAAGTAGATTGCTGTTGCATTTCCCACATGTAAATTATATTTGTAGGTTGAAGAAATAGAAAAAAGCCCTTTACCTAATGTGCAGTTGTCTGAGTAGAGCCACTGTGGAATGTACTACAGAAAAGGTTTACAGTATTAAGACTGATTTGATGAGATATGCAAGCAAATCTGTAGGACACCTGAATATATGTCAGAATCCAGTTCTGTTAAACACTGTGCAATCAAAACAGATTCTCTGCCAGAAAACACAGCATAAGTAATGTACTATGCTATCCTCATCCCAAATTTTCTGAAATGTATCAGAAAGTATAAAAAAAAGTAATTCCAGATCCAATAGTAGAT